CAAAAAAATCAGTGTGGAGAAGAACCGAGCTCATTCCCTTCGCTTCCTGGGCCCAAAGCAGTGCAGTCTTTCCTGGCCAAATCAAGGATTTGGGGCTTCACGCTACTTCAATCCATTTTTTTAGTCAGATCTATGAATAGAAAGATGGATGAATCTATCGAGATTCGATTTTGATATCTAAAAAAGAATCGATTTCATTCAACGGTTGATTCAAAGAACTGCGCTTAGCCCCCCCGCTCATGAAACGACTCTGCTGCAATGGATGGCAGAGGGTCCGTAGTACCCAAAGCACTGGAGTCATCCTGTAGCCGGGAAGGGGCCTAGAAGTGCTTACTACTACACCACACTACACTTGGCTCTACACATTTACAAAGCTAACCCTTGTACAGTCCCTCGCAGAGCTAAGGAAGGGGGCTTCATTCAATCCTTATTCCTTATCCCCTCGCCCAGGCTAACGGGGCCTTACGGGGAGAGTGGAGCCTCAAGAAGCACTGTTGAGAGGAAGATGCTTGGCCCCTCTTCATTCTCTACAGGGTTCCAAACCTTTCTTCAACATAGGTGACAACGAGAGAGGCAGAGATGGAAGAGATCGAACACGGGAATAAGAAGCAAGCTCGCCTTTTTTTTTATTTTGATAGAGGGGGATGGAGAAAGTGGACAAAACATACTTGCATTTCCCAGTCGAAAAGATGAGTTCCTTTTTCGTCTCGCATTTCTCATCAAACAAATACAGAAAAATCATCATATTGAAAATGCGTTACTAACCCACCAAGCCCTTCCTTCGTAGAGCCGTGTATTGTAAGTGATTCGAACCTGCCCGGAGCGAGCCTCCCATAGAGGCAAGTGAAGTTGGTGAGCCGTATGATGGGCAACTATCTCTTGCGGTTCGGAGAGGACTCAGCTCTTAGTTAGTACGCCCTTGGTTTCGGGGTGTACCCTTTCACTCTATTTTATTATATACGCTTAGCGAAAATCATGTTTTTTTGATACACCTAGGACATGGATTCTATATGAACCAATGGATCGTGACAAGTCGTTACTACTAGCAATGATTTCCTCTTTCATTACTTCATCCTTTCCATATCCCTCTCCCTTGTTCTCAGTTACTCATCAAATGGCACTCAGTTCATATCTTTAAGTTCGATCATTGACAAGGTTCAAAGAAAGGGTGGGACATTGATAAAGAATCGATTCCAAACCACAATGCTAGCAGATGGCGGGCCTCCGCTTTTCTTTTCATTAATGAAACCTGCCAGTTATTTATTTATTATTAACTCAAATCAAAAAGACAAAAAAGTCTTTGTTCAAAAAGACGTGGGTGACATTATGACTGGGGTGTCAGTTAGAAAGGTTCTTACAATGTTCGTTCAAATAAAGCAGCATTCTTTTTTTTTTACTTAAGGAGGGCTTGATAAGAAGGGCTTGGGACCTATGAAGAAACAAAACAAAAAACATGAAAGAAAGAAAGAATGAAAATGAACGGGAGGCGTCGGAGGAAGGACTGACGAACTACTTACTTGTCTTTAGTTAACTACTTTACTTGGGGTTCTTTCTCGTAAGTGGTATACCTACACCCTGCACACTCACTCTATCTATATACTACTACGTTGATAGCCTTTCTTTCGCAAACTTCTCTCTCTCTCTCTACTAAATCGCCGTTTTTTCAGGTCGAACCAAGCCCGGATCCAGCTGAAAAACGGAATGGAATACTCTAAGATGCTTCATAGCTTCAACAAGCCCATACCATATTCTTCCCGGGGAAAGATGAGAGTTCCAACCCTTTATTGAAGAAAGAGCTCTTGCCTGAAACTCAAAAGAGAAGAGAACGTTCCTTCCGCAACGCAAGGGCGATATCTTGCATAGCAGCCAAGGAAGGATGAGTTCGATCCATTAGGTTCTTCGATTTATTCGGAAAAGAAATGAGAGAGAAGAAAACATCTATGATTACGATTAAAAGGAACAATCTCAAATAGACTAAGATCCAATTTCGGGTCATTTCTTGGTGAACATGATCTGCCATAATCTCTTCGATCCCTGAATTTATGTGCCAGACTACAGATAGATTTGGTAGGAAAGTGGAAGAGACTTTTTTGTATATAATAATTAAAGGAAGAAGGAAAGCTGCTGTAATTCTTTGGAAAAGCCCGGTTCTCTTTGTCTTCGAGCTTGAATTCCTCAATGCACTGTTTTGTTCTTTCATATACCTCCCCACCAATAGATAGAGACAAATAGGAATAACCGAACCACGTCTACAAAATGCCAGTACCATGCAGCTGCTTCAAAGCCAACGTGATGCTCCTTAGTCAGATGACCAAGATATTGGCGAATACCACATATGATCAAGAAAAGAGTACCTATAACCACATGAAAACCATGAAAGCCAGTTGCTAAGAAAAAGGTAGAACCATAAATACTATCCGAAATAGTGAAGGGTGCTTGATAATATTCCATTCCTTGAAAGCCTGTGAATACTAGAGCCAGTGAAACGGTAGCTACTAAAGCGTAAACAGCTCGTTTTTCCTTCCCCGCGAGTATAGTATGATGAGTCCAAGTTACGGCAGCTCCGGATGAAAGGAGAATAGGGGTATTAAGAAAAGGGATTTCCCGAGGATCTAAAACCCCAATCCCTTTTGGGGGCCAAATACCTCCGATCTCTACCGTGGGTGCCAAAGAAGAATGAGAAGAAGCCCGAAAAAAAGAAAAAAAGAACATAACCTCCGATACGATAAACAGAATAAAACCATATCGAAGTCCTAATTGTACTACTTTGGTATGATGTCCTTCCAACGTGGATTCACGTAGAACATCACGCCACCATACGAACATGGTATATAGGAGAAATATGAGGCCCAAACTGAGAAGTGTTGCACCCCCTTGAAATGAGTGCATGTACATCACACCTCCTACGGTGGTTGCCAAAGCTCCGAGTGAACCCGAAATGGGCCATGGACTTGGATCTACCAAATGAAAAGAATGCCTCTGAGATTCAATCATAAACCACTTTGCCTCGGTTGTATGTAAACCCCCCCTTCACCCCCGCTAAAGTGGTAAAGAAGGGCTGGGGTCTCATTTTCTTTCTATCTGACAGGACAAAAAAATAGGAAGGGATGGTTCTTTCATTGCATTGATAGAAGTCTAACTAGAAAAAGATCTCTCTATTCCTTTGAGAGGAGAATCTCATTGGTTTGACCGACGAACTACGTGGGAAGACCTTCCTTCTTTCGTTGATTTTCAGCAAGCATTTTAGTAAAGTCAGAATTCTCTGCAGTTTGGTTTCGAAAAACTTGTTGGTCGCGGATTAGTGCGTTCTGCGCCGCCGGCGGCCTAAAATGAAAGACGCAGGTTGATCTCTCTGGTTGAGGATGAATTTATTCAACTTTACACGTGGGAAGGGCTTACTCTCCTCGGCTTGGTCTCGCTCCCTTCCCGGACTATTCCTCCCCACTAAAAAGAGCGATTGACTTTCTCGATAACCTTTCTGAACGTCCTTCTTCGCGTGGGGATTTGAAAAGGGATATATCTCTCTTGTAATGCTTTCTACTATTCTGATCGAGAAAGAATCTCTTTCGAACGACCAAGTCATAATGAGATTAAAAAACGATGCTTCCTTGGCCGTGTAGAACATGGATTAGCATTATGTCATTCCTACAAGCGATCCCCCATCCAGGATTGGAAGAAGTGCTATATGAGGACTTCGAGATCAAATAGAATATATTTCTTTCGAGACCTCGTGAGCCACTTATTTCTCCGAAACAAGAGAGAAAAGTGATTTGACTCCTTTTTCCCAATAAGTCGACGGCGTTACACCATTGGGATACTTCGAATAAACTAGAGTACATATAGGATACACCGTAACATTCACGAGGACAGTTTCTTGTAGGAATATTTTATTTAAGCAAAGTGAACAAGCCCATCGTGTCTCCCATGCTCTGTTTTTTGAATCTTCACATCTTTTTGTGAAGATTCAAGAAATCGAGCACGGAAGTCAAGATGAAGTTTGTTTAATTTGTTTCACATGAAATGTTCTAATGAATGATTGTGATATGCTTAATTACAACTATTCACGAGGAATGTTTCGTGTACGAATATTTTATTTAAGTAAATTGAACAAGCTCACCGTGTCTCCCATGGTTCGTTTTTTGAATCTTCACTTTTTATGTAAAGATTCAAGAAATGACGCACGGAAGTCAGAATGAAGTTTGTTTAACTTGATCTTTGATTAACATTTGCTATTTTTTTTTTATTACACTTTCTGATTTTTTATTATCGAGTTTGCTATTACTTTATATTTTTTTATTATGATTTTGTTATTTATAAAACATATTATTTTCATTTTAAGTAGATTATTTTAAGAAATCAACATTTAGTGTACTTAAATTCAACTTATTTATTATTTTATGAGTGTTTATTATTTTGCTACAAGAAATCAGAAGGAGTAGAAGCTACATACAAACAAATGATTTTCAATTATATAATTTTCTTTTATTTGAATGATGTATTTTTACTTATAAATTTGGTTGATTTTCAATTATATAATTTTCCATGATTCGAATGATGTTTTTTACTTGTAAATTTGGTTGCTCGAATTTGTTGCATATTTCTAGTGTGAGGGAAGTGTCTTTTTCAAACATTGGTTATTTATTGTACACATTATTTTAATCGATGAATGATTGTGATATGATTCACAACTATTCACGAGGACCGTTTCTTGTAGAAATATTTTATTTAAGCAAATTTAACAAGCTCATCGTGTCTCCCATGTTCTGTTTCTTGGATCTTCACTTCTCTTTGTAAAGATTCAAGAAATTGAGCACGGAAGTCAGGTTGAAGTTTGTTTAATTTGTTTCACATGAAACTGTTCTAATGAATGATTGTGATATGCTTATTTACAACTATTCACGAGGAATGTTTCTTGTAGGAATATTTTATTTAAGTAAATTGAACAAGCCCACCGTGTCTCCCATTGTCCGTTTCTTGAATCTTCACTTCGTTTTGTAAAGAAGGTGGATTGTGAGATCCCACATCGATTGGAGAGTAGAACGAATGCAGCGAGGATGCTGGGCCACGAAAGGGGTGGATTGTAAGATCTCACATGGAACGGAGAACAAATGTCAGCAAGAACGTTGGGCCCTGAAAGGAGGTGGATTGTGAGATCTCACGTCGGTTGGAGAGGAAAATAAAACATTTTTAATAAGGGATGGAAACCTTTCCTTAACTTAACACCCTTATAAAAAAGAATTAATGACAATGATTAGCTTAACTTTTATACATCATTTAGACACTAAAATACATTACTTACAAATTTGGAAACTAAAAAGAATGGTTACAATAATCATAAATGAAACATTATAATTAAATAAATCTACAGGTGGCAAATGGTGAAAATTATTTAATATAATCGTCACATTATAATTATTACTCTCTAAATCATTCTCATGCATCCAATATATAAAGGTCATGTGGTAATATTTTAATTTAGTAATTTTATTTATAATAATTTAGTCCATATATTTTTAAAATTTAAATATTAAATTTTCGGTGTCAAACCATTCATAGTACAAAAACGATTTTATACTTAAATGATAAACTTAGGAAAAGTAAATATGGTAAGTAAATTCTTAGCGGTGAAAATCAAATGCAACCTAATTATGGAGGTCTTACAATCACTAGCTAAGACAGTTACTTGGAGAGTTTTCTCGAGGCATTAGTGTGATGATAAATCAAACAAGGTGGGTCAAAATGATAAATTAATTTTCTCAGTTAATGAAATTTTTTCTTTTCCACCATGTTGAAAAATGGTAAAATTATTTTTTATTCAACCCATGGATTAACAAATTTCAATTTAAAAATAATGATAATTAATTAAGTCAATACAAAATTGAATTGCAATTACATTATCAAATTAATATTTAATATATATTTTCTCAATACTTATATTACAAAAATGAATATTAATAGTTATATGGTGAGTTGTTTAGAAGTACCCATCTATTTTTGTATTTGTGTGTTTTTTTATTTGATTGTGTAATTGTCACAGCGGCACATTAATAATGTTTCGAGTTAGGTTAGGTTAATTTTTTGAAACCCAATAAATTTGATTTGGGAGAAAAAAATGGGCATTTAACAAAACTGAAAAATATTATTTTATTATATTAATGTAAATATGAAATTGTTGTTGGTTTTGAGACTCTTCAAACAATATGCATGCATACCTTTGAATTTTAATATTTACATTTTTTTATATATTTTTTTTTATATTTTTACGCTTTTTTTTTCTAATTTTGTATATTATTATTTTATTTAGTTTCAGTGTGCTATTATTGAAGATTATTGGGATTGATTCACGCGAGGAAGGTAATAAAAAAAGGAAAGAAGATGAGTTCTTAACCGGTCTCTCATTCACATTCTCCTTTGTTTTCTAGTTTTGATTTCTGCTTCAGAGTCCCATGCAATTTAGAAATCCTCATTTTTCTCTTTTTTTTTTTTTAATAAAAGTCGTATTTTATGTAATAAAAAGGTTATTAGGATAGCTAAAGTATAAAATAACTTTATTATACTATGAAATTAAAGCTATAAATACATAGGGTTGCAAAAAAAAATAATGAAAGGATATCTATAATTAAATGATTAAAGGAAAATATAAGATAATTACCAAAAATAAAAAACAAATTACTATCTTAAATAAGTTATAAGACAATTCATCAAAGTTACAAATCTTGAAATATTTTTGGTATCCATTCTTCAATTTTCTCAAAATTTATTGTGATGTCTACATTAATTGAGAGGGAAATCTTCTGGAGAAAAGAATAAAACACGGGTGAGGAAACCTTCCCAAACCTTTACGGATTCGAGAAGAGAACAAAACACTATTTAAAAGGGTGTAGAAACCTTCTCGTATCATAAAAATCTCATTATTCCAAACCAATTTATACTTTGCCTAGAGAGTAAATAATCTAATTTAGGGAATGATCATTGAGTTAATATATTAGATATTTAAATATATTATTTTGTTAAGATTCTTCTATTTAAAATCGAAAAAGTTTCTAAAATTTGAATAAAAATTAAATTAGTTAAATATATAATATTGAAATAAGATATTATATCTTAATTCATCGATATTCTAATATATTATTTTGATAAGGTTCTTTAAAATCAAAATTTAAATAAGATTTAAATTAGTTAAAGGTATATAATTGAAATAAGATATTATATCATTTTTGTTAGAATTCTTTAAATTTAAAATTTATAAAACATTTAACTAAATTTGAATAAAATTTAAATTAATTAAATATATAAAATTTAAAATAAGATTTAAATTAGTTAAATATATAGACTTAGAAATAAAATATTATAATTCAAATATATTGTTTTTTTTATAAGATTCTAAAAATTTAAAATTTGAATAACATTTAATTCAAATAATTATTTTGTTAAGATTTTTTAAAATTCTATAAATAATATTATTGGGTTGACAAAATTGTATTCCATAATTTTGAAATTCTCCCTCCAATACCGGTATGGAAGTGTTTAATTTAGACTACCACAATCTTTGCAATTGAGTTATATCGAAAAAGATGTACAATACACAAAAGTATCTACAATTTCTGCAAAAAAAAGGTAAGTGGTTTTCTTTTCATTATCATACGTTTCCATGTTTGAGAATGAATATTATAGTGTAAGGTCGGAATCATTTAAAAGCACTCATCCATTTTTTTATTTGATTGTGTTATTGTGAGGGATGTACATTTAATGCATTTCGAGTTGGGTTTGATTAATTTTCTGAAATTAAATAAGTTTGGTTCAAGTTTTGGGAGGGCTAGAAAAGAATTCGTTTTTACCAATATTTTTATTGTATTATCATAAATAATGATTCAGGGTTGGTTTTGAGTATTTTCAAATAATTAGTTTGCATTAATTTAAAACCTAACTTTACCCTTTTTTTTTTATATTATATATATATTTTTGTTACGACTTTTTATATTATTTTATTTCATTTTGTTATCCTTTTTCTGATTTTTATTTTTTATTATCGCTATTCTTTTATCATTTTCCTATTGCTTTATTATTTTATTTAGTTCGGGTTTGAATAAGATTTATGATAGGTTGAATGATTATGATTTAGTTATATATTTGAGTCGTTTTAAAACATAAACATATTAAACAATTCAAGTATATTATTTTGATTTGGTTGCTCGAATTTATTGCATATTTCTACTGCGAGAGAAGTGTCTCTTTTCAAACATTTGTTATTTATTGTACACATTATTTTAGTCTTTGAATGATTGTGATATGATTCACAACCATTCACGATGACCGTTTCTTGTAAGAATATTTTATTTAAGCAAAGTGAACAAGCCCATCGTGTCTCCCATGCTCTGTTTTTTGAATCTTCACATCTTTTTGTGAAGATTCAAGAAACTGAGCACGGAAGTCAAGATGAAGTTTGTTTAATTTGTTTCACATGAAACTGTTCTAGTGAATGATTGTGATATGTTTATATTTACAACTATTCACGAGGAATGTTTCGTGTAGGAATATTCTATTTAAGTAAATTGAACAAGCCCACCGTGTCTCCGATGGTCCGTTTCTTGAATCTTCACTTCTTTTTTTAAAGATTCAAGAAATGGAGCACAGAAGTGAGAATGAAGTTTGTTTAACTTGATCTTTGATTAACGTTTGCTATTATTTTTTTTATTACACTTTCTTATTTTTTATTATCGAGTTTGCTATTATTTTATGATTTTTTATTATGAATTTGTTATTTATAAAGCATATTATTTTCATTTTAAGTGGATTATTTTAAGAAATCAACATTTAGTATACTCCGTTTAACTTATTTATTATTTTAGGAGTGTTTACTTATTTTGCTACCAGAAATCATATAGAGTAGAAGGTACATACAAACAAATGATTTTCAATTATATAATTTTCTGTTATTTGAATGATGTTTTTTTACCTATAAATTTAGTTGATTTTCAATTATATAATTTTCCATGATTCCAATGATTTTTTTTACTTATAAATTTGGTTGCTCGAATTTGTTGCATATTTCTAGTGCGAGTGGAGTGTCTCTTTTCAAACATTGGTTATTTATTGTACACATTATTTTAGTCTTTGAATGATTGTGATATGATTCACAACCATTCACGAGGACCGTTTCTTGTAGGAATATTTTATTTAAGCAAAGTGAACAAGCCCATCGTGTCTCCCATGCTCTGTTTTTTGAATCTTCACTTCTTCTTTTTGTGAAGATTCAAGAAACCGAGCACGGAAGTCAGGATGAAGTTTGTTTAATTTGTTTCACATGAAACTGTTTAGTGAATGATTGTGATATGCTTATATTTACAATTATTCACGAGGAATGTTTCGTGTAGAAATATTCTATCTAAGTAAATTGAACAAGCCCACTATGTCTTGCATGGTCCGTTTCTTGAATCTTCATTTCTTTTTATAAAGATTCAAGGAATGGAGCACGGAAGTCGTTTGTTTAAGTTTATCTTTGATTAACTTTTGCTATTATTTTTTTTATTACACTTTCTGAATTTTTATTACCGAGTTTGCTATTATTTTATGATTTTTTATTATGAATTTGTTATTTATAAAGCATATTATTTTCATTTTAAGTGAATTATTTTAAAAAATCAACATTTGGTATACTCCGTTTAACTTATTTATTATTTTAGGAGTGTTTACTTATTTTGCTACCATAAATCATATGGAGTAGAAATGATTTTCAATTATATAATTTCATGTTATTTGAATGATGTTTTTTTACCTATAAATTTGGTTGATTTTCAATCATATAATTTTCCATGATTCGAATGATTTTTTTTACTTATAAATTTGGTTGCTCGAATTTGTTGCATATTTCTAGTGCGAGGGAAGTGTCTCTTTTCAAACATTGGTTATTAAGTCTTTGAATAATTGTGATATGATTCACAACCATTCACGAGAACCGTTTCTTGTAGGAATATTATATTAAAGCAAAGTGAACAATCTCATCGTGTCTCCCATGCTCCGTTTC